GAGTGTTGTTTCACATTCTCTGCTACCTTCCTCAGCAAGGTTTGAGGGAGAAGGGTGAGCCAAAATGGAAACAGAAGCCTTTTCTCATTTTCTGTCATGCTGAGCAAAGAGTGCTGCAAGAGAAATACTTCCCGGCAGGAGAGTTTCCACCCTGTAACCAGCACAAGCTTCCGGAGCACAAGGACAAGCTGTTCTGTTTCCTGAAGGACTGTCCTTTTTGGCACAGGGCTGGACAGCACTGTCACAAGCAGTATGGTCACTAAAGGACACAGTATGAAAGATGACCATATTGAATAGGGGAATAAAGTGGGGAAATTACAAGCCACAGAATCAAGTTTGTAGTTCTCACAAGTGAAGAAGATGAGATGTCTACAGTATAGAAGACAATACTCGCCCCCTCAAAATCACTTATTGGTGTTTTAGGCATTATTGTTGATTGAACACAAGTGTTTTCTTTGTCTCCACCCCAATTACCATTAAGATGAACATAAAGAAATAAAAGTGGTGGTGCACGCCTGGAATCCCAGCACTCCGAGGCTGAGGCAGGAGGATTACTATGAATTCCAGGCCAGTCTCAGCTACACAGTGAGTTCAAGGTCAGTCTGAGCTACCTAATGAGACCTTGTCTCAAAAAAAGTGAAAGAAAAATATCAACAAATGTTGGCTGATGAAGCCAGGCAGGAGGGAAGTACATGCCTATAGAACTAGCTTCAGGAGGCTGAATCAGGAGCATCGCTGTGGACTGGACTACACAGTTCAAGCCCAGCCTGAACTACACAGCAAGACCCTATCTTAAAAAAAAAAAAAAAAAGAAAGAAAGAAAGAAAGTTTGGCTGAGGAGAGGGGATGGAGGACAGGCAACCGTTTTGCAGGACACAGTGGCCAGGCCCCAGTGCTCACACTGGGCACGTGAGCTCAGGGAAGGGGACTGGAAGCTATGCAGCTGCAGCCAAAGGTACAGGCCAAAGCACGAGGCTTAAAGCTGGAGGACTGAGTGAACAGCTGGGGTTTTCTGAGAAGATAAAACAATTTCAATGTGTATGATGATGTTATACAAAGGAAAATCTGGTTTTAAAAAAGGGAAGTTAGATAGCTGTCTCTCCTTCTGTGCTGTCCACAGAGAAGTCCTGACTCCCTTCTTCCCAGGAGAAGGGGAATGCAGGAAACTAGGCCCAGAGGAGAGCCAGTGTGTAAACAAAGTCAGCATCTGTAGGCCTTTTCACTGAGGAGGTTCTATTTGTGTCACGAAGAGGACTCCCTTGACCCCCGAGTACCCCAGGTGGGCAGCCATTGCCCACCTCACACTAACAGACAGGTGATTTAAGAGTTCTCTGCAGAAAACGTCTCCAGACTCTTGACAGGGACACCCGGAAGCCCCATGATGAAAAGGTCTACAGAAAAGCCTGCTGTTTTCATTCAGAGCATTTTCAAACAGCTTTTTAGTGTCTCTCCACCTGACATCAGACAATTGGGTAAATTAAGAGAAACAAATAGAAAGACATGCAAGTAAGGCCAGTGAGATAGCTCAGTGATCTAAAGCACCTGCTTAGGCAGGCTCAGGAGATTGTGGTTCAATCCCCGGCACCACATGCCGTGCCAGCCCAGCCATCAGGGCAGGCTGAGCCAACCAAAATAAAAATAAAACAATTAAAAAGACATGTACTCCAGAAGATTTTTGAATCTAGCAGTTATTTGGAAAGATTCTCACCCTGACTAACTATATATACTGATATGTGTGAACTAAGTAACTGCACTGAGGATGGTAATCTGTAATAGTAGTTTCATGCTTGGAGTGCCTGTCATTCTGATCTTCCGAACATGGGCTGCTTATCATGACATGCCAGTTGCTGCTATGCTGTCTCTTGGGTAGATGACTGTTCAAAAAGAAGGGGGTGATGAATGAAGGCAAGAGACAGGAAAAGGAATATTGTGGGACTGTCCTGCTTCAAAGTTGTATATGGTTAGATTTTTGGACTTATGTGTAAACATAAGAAGTATATAATTCTTTATGCTTATTTTTAAAAATATATTCTAATTTTTAAATGTTTTTCATCATATTCTGTAGGGACTTAAAGTTCAACATATCAATACTTGATGAAAAATAC